GATAGATAGATAGATAGATAGATAGATAGATAGATAGATAGATAGATAGATAGATAGATAGATAGATAGATAGATAGATAGATAGATATTTTAAATAGATAATGCTTATCTTTTATTATGGTCTCTAATCCTGTGCAACTCTTAAATACACCTTTAGGGATTCCCATCCAAAAAATTAAATGAGGACTTTCATATATTAAAAATACCATTTAGTGTTTTGTAGTCTCCACTTTACAATCGATGTCCGTTGGGCTAATGGCTATAAATAACAATTTGACTCCATCTGCTGGTAAAAAGTGGTACTGGGACTTTGACAAAATTGACAAAATGTTTGGATTTCCAGTAGCTGTGTCAAAATAGAATATAATAAATATTAAAAGTGACAAATAATTTGAAATAACACAAAATTAATGAAAGCTATGCTGGTGATTGTTAACATTTTACAAACCTGACTTTGTAAAGGTAATTGTTGAGAATGATACTTCTCTTCAAGTTGGTGGAACTAATGGTTTTTATGTCTTTTTCAGAGTGATGGGCCTTAAACTCATGTTTATGCTGCTCTTTGCAGCCAATCTAGCAGTTTTGGGGCTTTTTGGAGATGATGGAGAAAGTATTTCAAACAGGTGGACCCGGCAGACCCTGCCAAGGCTGCTGGTTAAACACAAAGCCTCTCTGGACAACAGTTTGTTCAGGGGACAGAGAGGGGAAAAAGTGGAAGCAAGAAACAGTACACTCTGTGGAATAGAGTGCCAGGGCAGTCTGTCATCGGTCAACAAGACTGAACAACAGAGGATCCTTGGATATGAAACGTTGTATAATAATAATGGCACACGAGTGCATACAGATGTAAGCTTGCATTGGATGAACGAGGCCCCAGGAGGGGCTACTTCAAGAACAGACCTTCATATTCGCAGGAAACGACAAGTTTATGGGGGAGACGGACGGTTTGTAATCTCAGATCCAAACTTTATCACTAACTACCCATTCTCCACGGCAGTACGCATTTCCACTGGTTGCTCTGGAGTTCTTGTTTCTCCCAAACATGTGTTAACAGCAGCACACTGTATCCATGATGGCAGGGACTACTTGCAGAGTACCAGGAGCCTTAGAGTTGGGTTGTTACAACT